AATTCGTTATTTCATTAAGAATTATTATTTTGTTATTTATCATTAATTAATTTTACTGATTAAATCGTTATTAAATTCTTATTACGAATTTTGGAATGATTTACGAAAATTTATTTTTCTGTTTGATTAGGTGTCTACAGTCCATCAGTCGGACAAGGGATTGTATGTATATTGCTTGATTGTTCTACCCCGTGTTCCCACTCTCCCTACCCTCCTGTATTCTGTGAACACCGGCACCTCTCAAGTACCGCATCGGTTTTGACTGATGTCGATGGAATAGGACACCGAGGCACTGCCACGGCGCAGTGCCAGAATCGCAGTTCGTGCCCGCCCTGCGGTACCTCCAAGACCCAAGAGATTCAGCAGACGCACGACTCCAGCAGCATCAAGTACGGCATTGACAATACAAGACACCACCRGAGATCTTCCCGCATGCCCGGTCCGAGAGGCCAGCGAGCCTTTGGCTGACTATCSTGGGCGGCTACAGGCATTTACAGACGTCGTAGCCGCCGCCGAGGCTCAKSAGGSTGCGGCAGAGGCAGAACGTCARYGRCTGGCCAATGAGGCGGCAGCCGAAGCTCAGCGGACAGCTGAGATTGACGAAGTGGCACGAAACAGACAGAATGCCGCCAGCACGGAGTCCCTGATTGCTAGTGAGCATCAGTGGACAACGGTACTCCAAGGCATGATCTTTGTGCCTACGGAAACGCAGGCGGAGCCGACAAAGGCGGAGGCAGAGAGAAGTAACCTGGCTACTGTGATGTTGAACGTAATGAGGGGAGTAATGTGGAACAACAAACTACTGCAGGCACACCTGCACGCAGAACGACAGCAAAAACAGCAGTACCAGCAAAACCTGGCCGCTGTAACGGCCGACGTCCGCGACGCAGCAATGCAGCAGCAGCAACAGCAACTGCTGATGAACTCTACCATCGCACGCATCAACGGCATTGCGGCCAAGGCCTCAGCAGCGTTAGGCTGCACGACGGACGCGACGAAGCAAATCAACGAACGCATCGATCACGTCGTCACCATCATCATCGACATAGATGTTTTCAACGGACCGGACACGATCAGCAGCACGGTGGCCGCCATCAAGACGGACATCACCAAGCTACAGACGAGACCGGACGCCGCTACAAAGA